CCCCTGCACTTCAGCCACAGGCTTTTGGTGAATACCTTTTGAAAACATGGTGTTATAGGATCTGCCTTCACAGAGCTCCCTTTGCAATAAATAGACTTTATGGGCTGTACTCGGGGGGCAGAGGATGATTTATGTGCTCAATAATATTTTTTCTGCCCTGTGGAGAAATCTTTAGACTGGCCAGCAGGCCTAGAATCAGGGAGGGTGCTAGGCTGCTGCTGGAGTGATGATTTTATACTGAAGTACTTTGAGTTTTGTTTTGGTCCTGCCATCATCAGTATCAGCTTCTTGTTGTTGTTGTTTCTTGACCCATGCAAGATAGAGCTCGCCTCACCTGCTCTTGGCCATTATTTCACATCTTCTGTGGACCCTGCAGAGAGCCTGGACAGCTCCATGCCAGTTATCTCATGAGTGCCAAAATCCTCTTTGCTCCATACACCATGAGCTGGAGCTCAAGTCTTTTTTACAGCCCAAATTGTTTGTGAAAGACACTTTCACTGTGAATTCCCAGAGAAAACAGAACTGATAGGATGAGAGTTTTTCCTCAGCTTTCTTCAGGTATTAAGGAAAAAACTACAATCTGTTTGGCTTCAAGGTAAAGAGCAATATTTATACAACTAAACCTAAGGGCATGACACAAAATTCTATTTATTTTGTGGTCTGCAGAAAGAAAAATATCAAATGAACTTGTCTACTCTGTATTGTAACAGGCTAATTCTCAGAGTAATGCCATTTAAAATTCAAGTGTCCTCTGGTTTTAAATATCAGTTTGACATGCACTAATTAGTCTTAAATTTGATAAATACTAAAGGAGTGAAAATTTATTTTTTCTACTTATCTCATGGCTAATCATTTGTAGCACCTAACAAGCTCCTTTTATTCTTGCACAAAAACTTATAGCATATCACAGAACCAGCATCACAGGTGGCTTGTCAGTGAGACAAGAAGCTCAGCTTCAAGAATGACAGAGGTCTATTTTGTAATCCCTTAACAACTGTATAGTCTCCAGAAAGATTCAAATAGTTGAATTCAAATGGTGCCTAACATTCTTCTTGAATACTGATATAGTAAGGAAATAATGCCATAAAAATTTACAATAAAAAGGTACATTACATTCTCTGGGTAGTAAAGCTTTAATTTGTCAGCCACACAGGCACTGGGAGGAGAGACTGCAGAGCAGTGTGTAAATGGATACCAGTCCAGGCACAGCCCAAGGAAAATACACACTGAAATAATGATTTTCAATTCTTGGGGAGGGGCAAACAGAGTATGCTTAACCTGAACCACATTCCTGCAACCCATGATGTACAATCCATGTCATACCTGAGATTTGCCATGGCAATCTGGGAAAATTAGTGACATCCCAGTGAAATGTGCAGCAGCACAAATGCAACAGCTTTGGTGCTCTTTTCACCTTGTCTCCCATGTGCTCCTCTGACTTAAAATATTTTTGGGAGTTCTCTCTTCAGTGTTCAGTTCCAAAAATCTTAACAACTGGCAACAGATATCCAAAAGTGGCCTCAAAAGAGTAAAATGTGCTTTGACATATTTCTTTGTTCTTTTAAAGTAAATGAAACAATTAGTACAAATGAAGCACTTCATCACTGAAACCCAGGGAAATTTCTTGGCTGCTGCCACATCATGAATAATCATAATAGTGCAGAAAAGGAGGAGTAGTCAGGAGAGAGATAATCTATGAGTGATGAATAAAAGCCGATTTCAAGGACTCTTGAGCTGGGTTAACTTTTGCTGAAATGCTCAGTCTCTGTTTCAAACTCTTCAGTAAGCCAAGAGTGTTACAGCAGATTGTATGAGCTCCTGCAAAGCACTTCATGTACTCATTTCTATCATAAAAAATGAATTATTCTCCAATTTCATATAAAATGTGGTCAGTGGAGATCTTTATTAGTTGAAAGCGAGTTCACTGGCAAATGTAGCTTGAATTGTGTAAGGACAAGCTAAGCATTCTGCTTTTCTGCTTCCTGTAAAAGCTTGTTTATTTTATTTTGCAATCATCTTGCCCATCTGCACCACATTTTTCTGTTGGCTTGTGTCCTGGCTGACTGCACTTGCCCAGGGCACAGGTTGTGCCCTGGTGGCTTTTGGTCACACTCACTTTATCTGCAGCCTTTCACCAGCTAGGGCTTTATTCCTAGTCAGCTTCAGAGATGAACAATATTGAAAGAAAGTTAGATATTACCTTGTAAGAGAGCATGCTGAAACACAAGGAAGTGGCTTTGCATCCAGAACACTGCAGGAAGGATCAAGCAGAAACAATAATGTGCTCCTTCAACTTTTCCTGATCTCCATTTCAGAAATCTGTACATTTTGAGGAAATAGTTAAGTCAGGTGTGGTTTGATGAGATGCAGTTATCACAGATGAAATAAAAATGTATCTGCCTACAGATGAGATGCAGTTATCACAGATGAAATAAAAATGTATCTGCCTACAAACGAGCAGCTCTCCCATTTGCTACTTTGCATCTCATCTAAAGGACACAGAACATAATTCTTCACTCTTACATACTTCCATACTTCATACTTAGGAGTTCAGTGGATGCTCAAGAGTAGGAAATGTGGGAAAGGTGGAAGGAGAGTGTCCTACACCTGTACTTTTGTCCATCAGTTTGAGCTGGTTTCAGTTTGCCTCAGGACAGTGTCTCCACTTGTCCCTGTTTGTATTTTAGGGGCAGTTGTGTGGTTGGATCACACAGTTTGTGGGCTCAGTTCCTTTGCCACTGTGTGTGCCCAAATGGAGGCACTCAGGCTATGCCAGCAAACCCCAGTGTTTCAAAGGTGCCATTTTACTGCTAAAAGCCATTCCTGAATTCTATCCTGCTGCATGGAGTGTCCCCAGGATGTGCCCAGGCAGTGCTCCCCGGTTCCCCAGCAGATGGTGCAGGTGAAACCCACTGCTTGTGGAATCTGCAAGAGGGAAGAGCTTGGTCTGTACTGTCCGGTTTTCGGCTGTTTGAAGGGCCTGGAAAGGCCCGGAGTGGCCTTGGGGCAGCCCGCGTATCAAAGGACGAGAAGAGGCTTCAGTTCTTCTTTCGGTTTTTATGTTTATTAATTGTTTATCTAAAAGATTTTCTTTCGGTCCGACAGAGATCTGCTCAGCAGTCAGCCATGAGCACACTGTCTGCCCTCCGTACAGACACCTATCTTTATACCCAAAGTTACGTGTACAATATTTATCATTTTTCCCCAATACCATTTATTCTTATTGCCCGGTGCACTTTTAGTAATGACCAATCCCAAAGTGCCACCATCACCATAGAAGATGGAGGAGAAGAAGAAGAAGAAGGACAGGACACGCCCCAACTCCTCCATCTTACCTCTCTAAACCCCCCTGTACAGAAATCCTAAACCCTGTGTCTCACCCTCTAATTAACTAATCCCTTCACCATTCACCCTGGTGAAATCCTCCTATCCTCATACAGGTGTCGTCTCCTGTGTAGGATCAAAGTCCAGCCACCAGACACTTCTGGAACATTCCAGGACTCCCGAGCCCCCCAAGGCTCGGCACCTCAGTCCTGAGGTGCTGAGATCCCACATGTACAACTACCTAGAGCAGAGTGCTCTTTGCAACTTCCCAGATGCATAATCCTCACAGCCTTCTTTCATGGAGTAAAGGAGATTAATTTTAGAAACCGTGGATTTTACATCTACCCTAATGATTATTTTGCTTTGAGTAAGTGGGCTCACTGGCTGGCTTTAGGAAATTAGATCACAGACTTACTAACAGCTGTACCCCAGCTAAAGTTTGCAGCACTAGGGATTGTCTTCAAGCCCAATAAGCTTGCTATTATTTCCTATCTTAAAATCTGTGCTAAGTAATAAAAAATTCAAAAAGGAAGGAAAAAAAAAGGTTGAGGTCACACTGCTGCTGCAGTCTCATTGAGAATCCAGATGGAAAACACAAGCTAATCTATACAAAAATAACACCTAAGAATGATACATGAATAATCTTGGACATGAAAGAATATTTAAAAAGCTCCACAGTCTCTGCAGGTTGATATCTTAGAGTTGTAACCACCTTTCCTGGTGATGGACAAACAGAAGGATGCTTTTCTAGGAAATCTATAAATCCCCTTTTAATTCTGTGCATGCAGTTAAGTCTCATTCTGTCATGGCCAGTTAAGATGTGCTTTTATCTACTTTTGAAGAGTGAATGAAGACCTTGTACCTTAATACCTACAAAGAATTACACGATGTGTGATGCTCTCAGGGCAGGAAGGGGCTGTGCATCCCTGCCTTGGGCTGCAGGTGTGCAGCTGGAAGCTTCTTTCTGTTGTGCTGCCCTGCATGTCCTCACTGGGTGCCTACACAAAGGCTCTGTCAACTCTGAACTCCACCTTGCTTTGAAGACAACTTACCCCAGGAGGATTTGGGAAATCCTTGATGTTACAAGTAACCAAGTGGTGCCATGTTTAATTATAAATTATTGGTATTTTGGAGCAAAGTTTTATTAATTAACAATAGAATTTCTCTTAGAAGCAGGATCCCTATCGAAGAAATTGATTTTCAGATTAAGATAGTTCTGCAATTCTTAAAGTTAAAAAAATGACTTCAAAAATTATTATATGTATTTTCCATGTATTTTTACATTTGTCCTCTATAACCATATAGCAAATTATGAAAATTTTCTTCTCCCAAGGTGAAATGGGAGGGAAACAATTGCTGGATTGCAAAGAAAGGGAAGTCTGTAAATTAAAGATTTCTTTAAATGTAAACCAAAAAAGATGAAAGACTTGGAAATGGGGAAAGAAAACTTGAAATCAAGTGAATTGCAAGTGGGAGAAACAGTGTGGAAATTATTAAGTTGCTTTTGAGCTGTTCAGCAAATCACATTACCAAATTGTCTGCATACTTGTAATGTCTCTTTTGCATTTTTGGGCTATGGAAGAGAGATTCCAATTTGTATTTGCTTCTTAAGGCTTACAGATGTGCCTTTCCCTGGTAAATAGAGATTCAGTGATGCACTTTATTGTCTTTTTCAGCTTTCCCAGCAGGAAGATTGGCCTCTTTACGTTGGAAGACCTCTGGCTGTGGTGTTTGCATTTCAGAGCCTTTCCACCTGTTTTGGATAAGCTGGGTGAAATTGCTCAGCAAGCAAGATGACTTTGACAAAAGTAAGATTGCATGTAGTCAGGAGTTATTGAATAAGTGAATTTTCAGTTCCATTTGAACAAATCTATGGCTAATAGTACCCAAGAATGACCAGACTATTAGCTCACACTCATCAGCATTTATATGCTAGCAGATGAAAATGTTTCACATGTGAACTAGATGCTGTTCTGTTCAGAAATAGATGTTTAGTATTTTTGCAGTAGAATAAAGAGTAGCTCCATGTTGAGCCAGGGCACTGACTGGGAGAACTCTGCTGTGTTATAACATGATCTTTCCCAAAAGTTGATGATATGTTATATAATCATATCATATATATATGATATAACATCATAACATATATATATGTTATAACATGATCTTTCCCCTGGGAGCACATTTTCCAAGGCCATCCTACCACCTTCTCAGTTATCAGCAAAGGAAATAGGGTCAAATTTTTCCATCCTCTGTTCAAAATACCTTTCAGAGATACCTTTTGTTTCTGATCCTGCAGAGACTGAACAACTTGGTTCATTCTCACCATTACATGTGAGCACAGAAGTCAATTTGAAGCTTGCCTGTTTGGCATGAAAGAAGTGTAACAATACATGTAAATGTTTAATTTCCATGTGGACTAATCCAATTAGGCATCTTAGTCATATTGGCATCTTCTCATTCATCAAAAAGGAGCCTGGCTCAGTTACCTGAGTGCTCATTCAGAATAATTGTCCTGAAATGAGGATTAGAGACTTTTGTTTTTCATTATTTCATTTCATTTTGTTTTTCATTCTCTAAGTCATACATGCTGTAGCAGCTGTAAGAAATTGGGTTTGGAGTATTTTTTCTCCATCTCTGCTGTTCTGCAGCGCTAAATCTTTTGGCCAATGTCCATCAGAAGATGAGAGGAGAGAGGAACGGGGCAGAAGTTCACATTCAAGAAGGTAAAGTACTTGAATGTCCTGATGGCATGTTCTTCTTCTGTCTTTAACTTACCTGCTTATAATAATGACAAAATTGTTGGGCTCTTCAGATAAAAATCTGTTCCAAGCTCTTGGAAAGAACCTGTTTTTATCACTATAATTGCTTCCAGTGGGACTAAGCTTTAGTAAAGGTAAGTCTTCACATCACCAGGGATTAATTAGGACAAAGTGCAAAGGAAAGAGAAGTAGAATGAAAATTGTTCTGATTATTCTTAACCCTGTATTATCTAAGGAGGAATTTTTTTTTTTGGTTAGCTATCATATTTCCAAATGTAGGTGGACTATCCTGTGTCCAAGCTCTGAGTGAGAAGAAATAGGAAAACACTGCCGTAAAGAACCAGAAAAACAGCATAGTTTTTGTGAGAAATCTCAGCCATTTCACTTTTATTGGGATCATGAAATCTCTCTGTAATTAGGTGACAAGCTTGCAGTGCTCCCACACCCATCTCTGCAGGAGTTCCTTGCATTAGTGTGCAGAGGCACAGCTTAAGCTGCCAATAGTAAGAACCATCCTTGGTTTATTTTTCTTGGGGACTTGCACACTACACAAGCTTTCTATCTGACCTTCTGAGGACAAGGGCTTGAAATCTGCAGGATAACCAGGAGTACCCAACATGGCTCTGGAGAAAACCTACACTGCTTTTGAGCACCAGGAGTGGTAAACATCTGGGGATCATTTGAAACTGGAGCTGCTCACTGGCAATGGAAGACATGAAAGAAGCAGTCAATGTTTCTTTTCTGGGTTGGGAATTGATCTTTATCACCACTTTCCTTAACCTGTATTAATAACAATCACCAGGGACAGGAGAAGCATGCAGACTTTAAAAGGCAGCAGTAGTTGCCCTAGGTTATGGAAGTAAAGGAGGAATTTGGATCTGAATTTTTCTTGTTTTCTATCCAGAAGTAGGAACCTCTTTTGTTGGAAGTAATTTTTGTGAGACATTTGACTGCAGCTTCTGAGGATACATAAAAATAAATCAAGTTAACAAGAAGAAGAAAATAAAAATCCCTCCTATAAGACCTCAGAAAATTATTTCTACCCTATACTTAAAAGAGCTGTAAATTTTTTCTGGGTTTTTTTTGCCAGGCCTTTCAATTTTTAATTTAAGGTAGAAGTATATGAGAAGGTAGTTCTTCCTATAACATTTGTTCTAATATTTTCTATAACCTTTGTTGAATTACTGCCTTTACCATGGACCAAGTTGTTTCAGGAGCTGTTCCATCTGCCACTCAGAATATTCCACTCCCAGCAGTAGAATTGAAGCCTTTCTAGCCTTTTCTTTTAATGCAGAGCCACAAGATTGAAGGGAATGGGAATTTTTTTTAGGGGTGTAAATGAAAGTTGACCCCTAAAATGAGGTGCTGCTTTTGCTGATGTAGTGGAATAATGCAAGTACCAGTTTAAAATTTTACAAGTTCCTCTAGCTGAACAGGAACTAAAACATTGCCATCTCAACAACCTAGCACTCCCCACAGGTCTCTATGCACCTTGGAGATGTTGGCTTAAAAGAATTTTACTTTTCTTAACTTTGAGAAGGTAGTAATAAACAGATATAAAAAGCAATGCAAGATATTCATGATGGGGGAGGTTTTTTAAACTTTTCTTGACTATTTTAATATGAGCTTTTTCTGCACAACTATGGCAGGGCAGATTTCCAAAGCAGCATACTTGAGTCTTGCTGCTGTTAGATATTAATGCTTGAATCCCCTGTGATGCTTTGAAAGGATACACTTGTATGGATAATCAAATAGTTACTTTCCTTGTTCACAGATTGGGCTTTTTTGAGGAACAGAACTATAAAACATTGCTTCCCCTAAGACAGAAACAAGGAACAC